GAGAGAGAGAGAGAGAGAGAGAGAGAGAGAGAGAGAGAGAGAGAGAGGCAGAATTGGGAAACGCATGGAAATGAACGTTATTAAATTGTTCTACCGTGACGCCGAATCCACCCGCAGACATAAATTGACACCGACAACGTCGAATTAGGTGCAGCGCGGGTTGTGGGGACCGTCAGATTGGTACAGGTAAAACTCACCGCGCGCGTATTCGTGTGCCCCCCAGATTCCGCGGGTACATGCACATACCTCCGCGCGAGCGGGGGTTGAATTTGTGTTATTAATGGATTTGTTTGCGGTACCCCTGCTTCTCGACAATCAATATTTATTTATCGAACGTAGCGACAAGTACGGCCGTGTCGCGCGGCGAGCAGGGAGAAAGAACGGGATCGGGGAAAACGAGAAGAAGAACGGAGATGGGCAAAGGGGGACATCGCAAATAAATGGTCAGCGTATTTATTTGGTGAAAAAACAAATTTATGCGCCGGCCAAAACGGAGCGGATTCTATGCTCAACCTGAGCCCCGCTGTCAAAGAGAGAAGGATAGCTCTCCGGTTTCCTAGATTTTTGGCTTTTTCCTTTCAGACCTTTCTTTGCTCAAGCAAAGGGCGGCAAACAAATGAGAAGCGGTTTTCCTCTCGCTTGATGTACGACTTTCGCTTTCGGTCAACAGTTCCGTTCGCCCACAAGGTACCAATTCACTAAAGTTTTTAGTACAAAATACCAAACTACCGCTCTCCTCCAATAACAGTTACTCGTGGTCTTATCATACATTTCTAACAAGTACGCATAACCATCGAATGCCCCAAAATTTGGCCCTGCGGGCTCCCTTGAGTAATCGGGAAACAAACAACCTGGACAAATATTGTATCACGCGAGGGCCACGCAATGTACCACGACAACCAGATAGGATGAATATTTGACCATGTCTGCGGCCATCTCTCTGTACACGGAGAGGTCCGTCTCGTGCGGCAGTTCGGACGGTACTCCACAGCATCCGCGTGTACAGGAACGACTGCAGAAACGGCATTCACGCTCTCCCACCAGCCCACTCCTCTCCTCTTAGCTGCCTCTCCGCCTCCACCGGCACCTACACCATCACCGGTTTCGCCTCCGCCGTTACTACTACCGCCACCACCACCATCGCCGTTCACCACCACCGCCACTACCACTACCGCCGATATGCCTCCACCACCGTCGAACAACCACCACCACCATTACCACCACGTTCGCTCAGCACCGGCGCCCGAGAGGCGAAGGGCCCCGAGGTTTCTGCTCTACGAGTCAGTTGGCCGACATGAGCCGCGCGTGCTGGGGCTCCTGGTGTTTATCCGCTCTTAACGGCTAATCCCGAAACGCGTACCCTCGTATATATTGGGACGTGCGCGTGCACCGTACCGTACCCGTGAAACATACACGAGGGGTGAAAGCGACGTTTTTCACAATTCGTACCTGTGGGGAGAGGTTTTTGACGTTTCGAACTACGACGAATTCGGGCTCCAATATTTTTGAACGGTGCGGATAGATTACCGGTGACGGAGGGAAATCGGTGTGCTCTTTATGCGCTGTCAGCGTCGGATACGTGATACGGGGATCGAGGTGAAATAGTTTCTCACTCTAGATCGGCGAACGAATACGTATCTCTCGATGGTCGTGGCGGCCGGGACTAAAAAAATGACGTTACGGCGCGCGGTGTAACGAACTTGCAACGATGATGATAACGCCAGTGTCAGTGCAGTGGGGTTAAAGTGCCAGCCGGTTTATGGATAACCACGGTTCGCTGATTGGCTTCACGAGTAAGTGATATCCGACGTTAAGTTGCGTAATGCGTCGTGCAGCCGGATTTTTCTTGTACCACGTCGACCCAGGAAATGTGTCCCGATAACGTATGCAAAGTAGCGCCTTTACCCGAGACGCGAGCAGAAATGTGGTAGACGTTTCGCTCGTAAAATGCTGCTGCATATGGATGATGACGCAAATTACTTTACAAAACTGCGAAATGGATTAACAAAATAGCAAAGGACATATTGCTCCGATTTTGTAATCGGAGAGATCTTAACAACTTTAATATCAATTCAATATAAAGAAAACTAAAATAATACCTCTCCAGCAACTTAAAATATTGTATTTTACGAACAATAGAAATTTACATTTCTCACAATCAAGATGTTTCAATGCTGCAGGTCGGTCGTGACGTTTCAGATAACTAATCGAGATAATTCATTACACGCTCTCGAGGGACCGGGAATATTCCCGATTGATTCCGGTGGCTGCACATTTTCAAAAGCCCGCTAGGGACCGAATCGAAAGACGGACGTTTAACATTTAACCCCTGCGCTCCTGCTGGGCCACATGGACGCGTTCCAAAAGTCCCCGGGAGAGCCTGTTAAAAACTCACGTATCGTAAACTTGTGCTCGACGAGACGCCGCCTTATTCCCTCCCTGTGCGGCTTGTTCCAAAATACCGGTTGTTACCGATGCGCCGCGACTCGATGATCACTTTCCGATATCAACTACCGGATTTGCGCGGAACGGCTATAATCTTCGACCGCATGCACAGCCTGCCGTTGGTCTGGCAGGCTAAAGTACGCTTATATTACAGGTCTGCGCATTAAATGAATGAAGTCGTTGGAAAAATTACACGAGACGGCATTAACTAGGCGATATACGCTATTACTTGTTGCTTCATCGGAGCTATGTTTATATTCCTCCTTTATGCCCGCGGCGTGCGAGACTTCGCCGAGGACACGAAATATGTACGCGGAACGTTTACGGATTATTCTAAATCCATTTCAGTTTTATTGGATAAAGTCATATGCGCGGAGTCAAGCTTCGCGCGTAAATAAAATGTAATCGTACATGTCAATAAATGGCTCCCAGGCGACTACGGTAACTACGAGGAACATGCGCGCGAGTATTCGCGTAATCGTAAAATATCCTCCCATATGCGTCGAATAAAGATTTACAAGTACTCGAGGGCACTTACTAGGATTACATATACAGGAGCACGTTCTTCGGCCAGGACTCTTAATGGCGAGCAGTAAGTTGCCGACGATTTACGCCGGATACATGCCTGCATCTTTTACCAGAAAGCTTTAAAATTGCACTCGTACCGCTACCTACCCCATATTTACTCGGAAATACGCGAAACGTATACATCATAAGAGGGGGGAGAAGATCTCCGAAGGTCTAGAGATTACCAGATATCCATACGTGCGCGCAATGTCGATTCCCGATAAAGCGGCGCTATTACATCGTTAGATTGGCTGGATTGTCGACGGTGATTTGCAAAATGGTCGATTCAATTACAGCCCCTTCAACGGTATTCCGGTAGGACGATCATATCTATCGTCAGCGATAGATCAGTACGTTTGCGCGGTTATAACGAGGGAAACGACGCTGAAAGGACGGCATTATCTCGAACAAATCGATAACATTACGTTTCCAACTTTATACGGCATTTATTGACTGTGAATCTTTAGTCGTGACACTCACGAGCTCACGATCGCTCGTAAAGATCTCGCGTCTCTGTGACACGAGTAAATCATCTGGGATAGAAAACGCTCGATATATCATTGCGCACGCGTTCGTCGAACGTTCGTTAATTAATAACATGCTATCTCTTTAAATTGCGAAGGTAAAATGTATTAATTATATCAGTGGTGCTGTATAATTACGGCTTTATTCCATTTCGCAGAGTCATGCCCATTGAAATATTTTCGCGTACTACTGCAATGTTCACGGTGGGAACGTTAACTAATTAGACCGCGCGCATATAAATTTTGCGATAATATATATACGTAAAAAAGATACGAAGGAAGAGAGAATAGAAAGCGCTTCGCGATTTCTATCGCATCACAAAAATTCACCGTGCAACTAGAATCGATGGATCGATAAATACTCGATCTGGAGCAATCCGGTGACGCATGATTCCGCCGTTATAAATAACTTCGAAGCGCGATACGGAAGATCGAGTGGTTTCAAAACGATTACGAGAGAAACAGACTACGGCGGCTGACTAAACATTTCGATCGACCACACCGGTGCAGTGGTGTTCGGCGCGATTGAAAATGAGGGATCTCGTTTGACTTCATTGGAGACTTTATTAAGCGACTAACTCACGGCGATGATCGTCATGACGCGGAACCGTGTACCGCGTGGAAAAGGGTTCTCGAGAATAATGAAGTGGAACGCGCGCGAGGCGCGTTTTGTCGGCGGATCCCTTTATTTCTGCTTTTACTACATTAGTCGCTTTCTGTAAATACACCGAGCGTGACACGCGCGCGCTTCTTTGAATGTTCGCCCCGTCACCGACAGGAGTTTGCCTTTCAACCAACGTTGCCTTCCTCGTCGGTGTCGGTTCCGCTATCGACGCTAGCCGCGCTTTTAACTTCCGCTTTTCTTCGTGCAACAGAGGAAAAATAATTATATACCGGAACGGTCTGCGTTTCTTACAAGACGCTCGGTGGATTTTCCAGGCAACAGCTGAGGGCAACAAATTGAAATTATAATAGCACTTTCCCGTAAAAAAAGAACTTGATGAATCTTGATGGTAAATAAACGCTGTATGGCGTGAATGCTTCATGAACAAGACGTACAAACACAAATTGTGTGTATCTACTTTTCAATCTTAATAGCCAATTAAATAATAATTAATTAAAATTAGAGCGCTGTTATTTTTTACAATAAATTTCACGTATCGACCGGTGAATTTAAGAAGCCAATTCATACAAGAGCTTACATCGCTTCTCCCGCTCCCTCTCAACGTGCAATTTCAGCTCCATTGCCGTGTGCGCGCGCGCGCTTTATAATGCGTTCGTTGAAATTCTCTCCCCACCCATCATGAATAAAAATATCACGTCGAAATATTCTGGAGTGAAACTATTATGCGGGACCTACACTCTCGAATCTCCACGGGATCCGTGTAGAAGCCGGGCGGCGAGCCGCGGCCCGATACTCCTGACGGGTTAATACGCCATTCACACGCGATATTATTCGCGGAAGGTTACACATTCGTGCGCATTGGTCACGTTCGTGTCGGGTCCGACGATTTTACGCGAACGTCTATCATTTTACGTCGCCGTCATTGGCGTCTCGAGTACTTCTCACCCCCGCGACGCGCTCATTTCTCGAACTTCCGTTTTCCGTTCTCGCCGTACGACGATACGTTACACGTAGCCCCGGTCAAGAAGATCGCCGGTCGAGGAAGACAGGAAGTCTGCATGTACGTGCTGGGAGTGCGTGAACCGGCGCGGCGCGGCGGCCAGCCGACGATCGTACCCCGCGCTTTCCGTGCTTCGGCCATTAAAAACTCGGTACGGTCCCGCCTTATCTCGCCGTCAAGATCGACGAAGCCCGGGCCGCACCGCCACGCACAGCGCCATGTATCGCGGTTTCGATCGGAACCCCCTCGCGCAGAGAACAACGCCGTTGTTGCATTGGCTCGAGAGGACCCGCGTCATCGAAAAGGGGCCCACCTGGCACGCGCAGAGCCGCATCTGCGGCGGCCGATTCTTTCGGGGCCTCCGTGAGAACACGAAGTGCCTACCTGCTTCGGATGGGCGTACACAAAAGCGAGGCCAAAGAGAGCCCGGTGTCCGCGTGCGAAAAATATATTCACGCGTCGACGAATTTCGGCGCGGTGGCGAAACGACCGTGTCTTCGGTGCCGATTGCGCCGGCCGATCGATCGGACGATCGATCTTTAAGGGCCCACTGGTTCGGCTAACGGCGTAATCTGGTCGGAGAACACGGCCCGATACAAATCGAAAAGCGATGAGTAAGATTACCGATTGAACAGCAGATGGGCAGACGTTATAAGCACTTTAAAGGATTATTGATTGATCGATAACGACGGAGGGATAAATTCTGAAGAATGAATGTATAGAAAGAGGCAAAATGAGGATAATAAAGAAACGAGCGACTTCATTTCATTCAAATAAATTTGTGATGGCGAAACGCTTTTATCTCCCCGAAGCTCGAAGTATCGATGCAATAAAACTGCGAGGATAGAAAATACTGAAATAAAAATACCGTTTTAACGGTAGCTGCTATGTCTGTGAAATTTTAATAGCTCCAGGATCTCCAGACAAAGAGCCTGAAGAGTTTCTTACCAGTACCCTTATACCTTACCGCAGAGGTTGCGCGGGAGACGACGGAAAAGTCACGCGCGACGCGAAAAACCTCACGGAACATTCGCCGTAAACAACCGCGCGCCGTTTTCGACGAACTTTTACCGCACGCGGGATTTCTTAGCGGCGCGCAGATAAAATCGAGGAACTTCGCAGGCCCGAGAGAGAGGGAATATCTCATCGTTTTTTACACATAATACCCGAAGGCGCCGAACGTCTGAAAAATCCTCATACGCTCGCCACGGCGCGAGAGAGCTTCTCGTTTACGTCCGCCGATATATGCGCGGTCGAGGTGAACGGCGCGTCGTCCTCGTTTCCTCGTATCTCCCGGCTCCGTCGTATCGTGTGCATAGCTCCGCATCGCGGCGAGCTGAAGGAGATCCCGCCCGAGGCGATCGTAGTCGCATTGTACTTTATATTCATGCAAAAACGTCGAAATAACTTCCAGGCGCGGCGCGCTCGCCTCGCGTTGTCGACCAAAAGCCAGGGCAGGAACGTTTGATCCTCCATTGAGACTAGGGAAACATGCGCGCGCGCGTGCGATCGTCTCCGCGCGGGTATATTTTCAGCTGGTTGCTGCCGCCCTTCTTGGCGTTCCTGTTTGCGAGATGACTACGCGCAAAGGAGCCGTGTAGCCGCGTTACATAGCCGCCGCTCTGTGCGCGGGCGATGAAACGATCAAAGAGCAAAGGGAAGGTGTATTTCGGTGTTTGGTCGAGCGAGCGGAGCTGACGCGACGCGACGCGACGCGACGCGACGCGACGTGACGCGACGAGACGTCGAGGCTTTTCATCCTTTTCGCAAAATTACACCGTGGCTGCGTGGCGGTGCCCGATTTTCGGAATACCCTCGAAAGGTAGAGGCCGCGGACTGCCAAGCGTAGATCGGGAAACTCTTTAGCCGCGAACCAGATCCTTTGATCCGCTCCCGTTGTGGAAGTTGTAAAGATCCTTTGTATCCCGGATACCTGGAATCGTGACATCGTTGCTCGCCGCGCGCTCGTTTCCTCGCGCTTCTGCCTCGCGCGAGAAGTAGTCGCGGAGAGGTAAGTCCATGGATACCGCGACGCTTGATTTTACGGGTTGCACTCTTTTAAACCCCTCTCGCGCGAGACTCTCTTTGATCTCTCGAGTTATTACGCTTACTTTATAGTTGGAAGTCGAAGCACGCGCCGCGCCGGAGTTTTACTTCGCTACGCGAGGAGCGACGCTGAACGCGCGAGATAGTATCCTTGATACTCACGAACAGATAATTTATGTTGTGTATCGCGATCTCCTGAGTAAAAGGTCTCACCGTCGTGCATTACGATTGAAATGCCGTGTGTACAAGCGCGGGGAAATAATTTTCTCTCGTAATCCGATAGCATATCGCAAAAGTGAAGAGGTCACTAAGTACGTCGACGGAATATTGATATCGTGGAAAAGAAGTTCTTACTTTCCTAGTTGTATGAACACCGACGCGGCGCGGCAAGAATTCGTCCCGTTATAGGACCATTAATAACCACTAGAAATCGATAACTACATCGACACGTCTTCGAACATCTGCAAACATCTTTTCCGACAATGCAAACGCTTTTAAGCATGATGCGCCTCAAAGAATACAACTATAAATCGAATCCTCCTGCCGCAGGTAGTCACGTATTTGTACAGGTTCTCCACGAAATCGCAGGTTTCCACTCGCGCGGAGTCGGCCGCGGCGGAGTGAATCATCTCACTCTCGACATCTCGTTCCTCCTCTTTTTCTCAGACAAGAACGATATTTATATCTATATACGGAGGGAAAAAGAAACGTGCAAGCCGATACGATCGATCTGATAGAAAGAAAAAACCGCGATGATCTATCCTTGATTGAGGAGGATCCAGATCGTAGGCAGATAGGACTCGTGACCGATCGAGTTCGTGTGAACCTGCCTAGACGCATCTGCCCGTTGGCTAAATAACAGCCGGCGAGAGAAGAAGGACCGGTATCCGAGAGGATTCTACGTCGCCAACGAGCGAACGTTGTGGAGGGAAGACGACGTATGTGAGCACGAGGCAAAGACCAAGGAAGAGGCAGCGCACGCGGCCGAGGAAAAGAAAGGCGATATCCTCTACGTGCGGTCTATAAAGACGCTGCGAACCCACATCCCCGCGGCCGCTGCGCCGCGCTGCGCCGCGGGGGAGGTTGACATGTTTATTTCGCTCCGTAATCTTCTCGGATTACGTTACCGAGAAGCGAGAAAGAGAGAGAGGGACGAAAAATGGAGAGAAACGGGCCGAAGAAGGAATAGTCGGCCTTCGGGAGAAACCGAGTTCTGGATGATACCTGAGGCTCGACGCGTGTTCCAAAGGGATCCCTTGCGGTTGTCGGTACATCCTTGAGGAATGTTCGCGCGGTTTTCGCGGATTAGTTTCACACGTTCGTGATGTATACGATGTTCTGCGGGAACTGCGTTAACCCTTAAAGACTACATCTTAAGTCTCAACCATTTAAAACTTTAAAAATTGATGTTTTTTTACAATTTAATATTAATTATTGACAATTTTTCTAATTCTATTACATTCTTCAGTCTTTTCTACCCCTATTTCATATATAATTATTTAAGATTTAGTTGATTAGACGCAGTTTTACACGCGATCAAAAGTCCATATGCGAGATCCATATAAGGACCATATAGTCTTTAAGAGTTAAATTCGACGCGGAATGTAAACGCGTTCTGCGGAATGTAAACAGAATAAATAGAAGTAAGAAAAATGCAGAAAGCAAAATCCGCGTGAAGCGTACTCTAATACCTTAGTACTGAACAAAAAAATTCGTTCATTAAATTACCGACTATGACTATTAAGACGTTGGAATTTATATCCAGCGGACGTTTCCCTAATCCGGCAAGATAATCCTCGTTTATCGCCAGCAAATATTAGACTGGAGCGTCTAACTAAATATAAAATTTATAACCGCGTCTACCCTACCCGACCCATCTTTTTCCCACAAGCATACGGTATCATTCACCTCCATCAAACATTTCTCAAAGGTGTGACCGTATAATAAATTCGTACAATTCCTGACCCTTCCGAATCGAGAAAGATGAATCGCGTCAAGAACCGGTAGCTGAATCCTTTTGGCTAGGTCCAGTCCGGTCGCTCTACCTGTTGTCATACGATACTCGAGATGCATCGCGAAGACTCAAAGACCGCTCTCGTATCGTGCTCTCGTCTTCTACTTGTTAGGAAAAAGAGTATCATCTTTGCTCGCTTTAGTCGTGACGCCGACAATGCGTCCACATTGCGCCACAAGACGCGTTACGGTTCACCTAAATAAATACAACGAAAGGAAGAAAGGAAACGATAGTCGGCTTTTCTGGCTGGTTTTTTCCGACCAAATGGAGTCCGGGGACAAGCGGATTCGTGTCAATTGCAGTGTGAAATGCCATGTGGCCGTCGCGCGTGCAATGCACGGTCCCCGTCGAGTGTTTTAAACCTTTTGAATGGATAATACCGTGCGCGTTTATAAATTGAGTTCTCGTCCCGCAGGATTAGGACGAGCCCGAGATGGGAAATTTGTGTAGGGTACCGCGATACCGTGGCCACATAATGCGCGTATTGCGTAGACCTTCGCTGGATTATTCCGCGTCATGAATCTTCGAGAGCATTTTCGACCTGATGTATACTCTCGTGTACACGGTTCGCGGCGATGTTGCGCCAGCGGCTTCATCGATTTTTGAGAACCTATTCTGTTGACGGAAAACACGAAAACGATAAGCAGATTGAATCTCGCATGAATAAAAAATAAGATATTTGTTTGCGCAAAAATTCTTTATAAAAACCATAAATCTCCCAGCATGAAAAAGTTACAGTACTAAAATAATATACGGAGATCGCATGCCACGCACATATTAAAAATAATATTACATAACCTTAACTTAATTATTTCATAAAATATCGCTGCGAATGACAATTAAATTTTGTTATCGCGGATTATTTCCGGAGCAAAGCTTGGTAACGTGAGCACGGAACTTGAAAAGACTGCTTTGTACTTTTTTTTCCGCAACGTACTAAATTTCACCACCATTTTACTTTTATTCCATTGCGTTTGCTCACGAGAAAGCTGCTGTACAACAGCACTTACAGATGTAATCGACAACATCTAGCGAAAGACCTTGACGAACGACATTGATAAACGATCCCTTAGTCGCGTTTCAACTAACCGACTTGGCGGGATCGTGTAACAACTTGGTACTAACAAGCTTTGCATATATACGCACGCTAAGCGTGTTCGCGATCATACGTTTCTGCGCGAATTTCGTTGCATGATATGCACATATCGCGTGAATTTTAAGCATCTCGCTGGAAAATTTAAAGTATCGATCGATAAGCGAAAATAACTCTCGCGTAATACCGCGTTGTTATTTAAATAGAAACATAGGTTTACACGTGCAATGAATTACGTTGCTAAAACTTCATCGCTAATACAACGTGTTTCTCCGGTATTTAAAAGTAAACTCTGAATCCCGTTACGCGCAAAGTCGGCTCGAGGCACTAACGCCTCAAGTTCCGTGAAATGTTGAATCCAGCGGAATATATTGATAATTCCGAGGAGGAACCGTATTTCTCCAGTAGACGAATCGCGTTTAATAATTAATTCCGACGGTTATCGACCGGAATCCTTCTCCCCCCCCCTCCCGAAGAAACAGCAGTTTCGCGTTCGAGGGAGCCATCGAACTACGGGGGAAAATTACGCTCTCCCTATCCCTGCGCCTTGGCTTTCCTTACGTTCCTTTCACGACGGTAGCAACGACTGAAAATGAAGGCGCCGCGAAGGAAATTTCGCGTGCGGGAAAGTGTCTGCCGCCGCTGGAATATTTAAATGGCAAGGGCTGCCAGCTATGTCGTAAGTGGCACTCTCGACTTTCCTAACCGTCTTTTACGCTTTCCGGTAGAAACACAACGCCGCGGCGGCGACCTGACCGACGTTAAACCCGTTTCACCTCGATACTTCTTTACCCCGGTTGCGTGCGAGAGAGAATTTCTATTTTGAAGAGTAGCCTTCCATACATCGTACGTATAGCAACGAAATAGGTTGCTTTATCGTATTTCTCGAAATATCCGCTAAACGTAGCAGATATTTCATTTATTATACGTTAACCGTGTCTGCGAAGGATTACTTTCTAGATTATTTTAACTAAAACAAGATGATAACAATGTTGTAATCAAGCGTTCTTCTCCGTTTATGTTACAGGTGCGGGCTCGTATCAAGCCGACGAGTGGCCAGTGTCGTGTCGAGTGACGTCGAGTGACGGTATTTAAGTGTGACTCCGATCCGATCTTCTTTACCTCCTTTACACCACGTGCGAGAGATGAACGAATGATTGGACCGCGGTGATCCGGTGATACGCGATGAGGCCGAAATCTTGCTCGCTGTTCCTGTTATTTTGCGTCATCCTACCCGGAGTGGTGCGTCCCTTCACGTCCGGCGAAGGTAAATAAAAATTTCCGCGCCGCGCCGGGAGTAAAAGCTCCGGCTCCGTCGCCGCGGCGTCGTAAAGCTTCGGGCGGCAAGGCCGCGCCCGAGACAATCGAGGAAGAGAGAATCTCTCGTGGAAGATCGTTAAGTTCGCCATTTAACTCGTGCCGAGCCCATAATGACCTCTCATCCCTCGTGGATTCGAAGAGCCAAGCCGCGCGGGCCTGAGTACTCTCACTCGAGGTACTCGCGCCAAACGCGACGCGCGAGTACCACTTTACGCGCGAATTCTTCTGCGGGCACCCGTTTTGCGCGAGAGAAATTACTGTTATGTTGTAAATTATATTATATCGTTACGTCGTTGATGGAACGATCGCTGATCGCATTAATTTGCCCGAGGTTCTTACTCGCTCTCAGCACTTGTCGTTTCACGCATGGTTCTCTCGTTTCGCGGCCGATATATAGCTATCTTATACCGTGTTTTTAATAAAATCCACGCAAACGGTGACAAGTTACTTGAAAATATCATCCAGTTTATGCTCTGGACCACGATGCTCGAGATGAGACGTAATATACCGTGACTCGAATATTTCGCTAACGATCGCGGACGGGAAACCAAAACATACTTTTTACCAAGACATACTTTTTACGAGCTGCAGGAAGGGAGGTCGAGTATTGTAGTTATACGAGCGAACGCGTTACAGACATACGCAAGAGTATCCGCCGCGAAAAAGAGACCGAGAGACTGCTAATTATACGGCGAGGCAGCCTGACTGATTAGTCGTCGGTATAACTGGCCGGTTACATTACACCAGCCCGCTTTCGATGATGGATTACGCTCCCCCGGAGCTACTTTTAAGCGACCTCCTGGACTACGTGGAAATTCCCGCCCGCGCCGCGCCGTTCTTTCTTCAATCTTCTCCTCCCTCGGAGGGACACCGCGGCTAACTAATTAGCGCCGCTGACGTATCATCGTCATCGTCGTTCACGTTAACGACGGATTGTATCTACCGCGACGACGCGGATACTTCGGTCGTCTCCGTGCGCCCAATGCGCGCGAGCGTTAACGTAAAAAGGGCGCGCGACAATCAATCTCTGTTAACTCGGGACAAAAGTAAGTATCGTCCGCGACGTCGTCGTCCTAAAACAAACGCGAGCCAGAGTGATCCATCTTCCATATTCTTCCGTCGACACATCTTTTTCACACATTGTCCAAATTCCGCTCTCCCGCAAAGTAATCACAGCGTCGCTTATCTTCGCGAGCGTTTTGTTGGGCTCGTGTAGCGTGTAACTGTTTTCCCGGTAATCGGGCAGTCTCGAAAAACGGATGTGTATGATTTGACGCTAGGGCGAAACGAGGATACAATTATGACTTGCTAACCATCTTCCTTTAAGATCTAACTATATAATCTTGGCGCACACATACACACACGCGCAACTTGCGAACCTTATTATCCCGTATGAAACGCGCGTAGCCCACGCGCGCGCACACATCGAGACGGGAACAAACGGCGCCGGCTTGAAAACATTCGTTTTCCATTCCCCTAGGTACGTGCTGTACAATAGAAATCGCGGCATAGCGCGCATACACGGCATACGCATACACACGCTGTCTCCTCCTTTACTCATTTTTCTTGCGGTGCACGGGGCAGATAAATAATTCCCATTCTGGCGCGCATCCTCGTGATGGAAGCTACACGGCGAAGCGGCGCGCGGCGCGGCATATTCTTCGCACGGTCACCGATGCAAGAAATCATATCTCATGTACGTCAGTACACGTGCTCGCAAAGTGTGCTTTCCATTTCTCACGCATGTCTGCCGGATAAGTAACAATTATCTTCAACAAGCACGTTTTCACGAGACAATGCGGATATAGTAACGCGGTTGAAATCGCTACAAACCATGTTTCCTCGCGTGAAGGCTAACGTATACATTTTATCCGTCGCACCAAAAGGCTTTATTGCAGGTTACGTTACTTAAATGAGATATAACGAAGCGCTATATTGGTCTAGAATACCCCGGCGTAATGACACAGGCGCGACTGCTGCACCTTTCAAGCATATGAAAAAAGATTGCGATCTATTCACCAAGTCATCGCGTGTAACTCGGAGATAATTGCCGCTCTCATTATTATCATCGTTACGCGGGAAACAAGCCATAATGGCAATATACTTAGCCGCGTCGGGCGGCTGATAAATAACAATTATGGCCTCTGACCTCGTAATAATTCCAGCGAGAGTTACACGCTCTCGTGGCGCCTATCACCGCTGTCGAATGCGCTCCGCAGCGATCGGTCACTCTACACAGCTCTACCTCAACTAAGAATCCACGTCGTCGACGACGTCGTAGTAGTCATCGTCGTCAGGCGGAAAGTGGCGCATACAAACGGCGCCTATTCCCGCTCACTCGCAGGCCGGCCATTCTCCTATACGGTGTAACTTGCCGGGCGAGAGCGCGACGTATTATATGCACGCACGCACGCACACTCGTGCACTTATGTGAATAATTACCCCGACGATTTATCGCGACGTGATATCGCGTCATAATTTCGCTGTCTTGACTGGCCTGGCGCTGCCGCCGCGCTGCGCCGCGGCGAGAAAAATATTAGCCGCGTTAATAATTAACGGTGCGCCTGCAGGAGGAGGTCCTGCTCCAGCGACTCCGCGTTCTCACGTTTTGGTCACCGCCAAACACGGTAGCGGTGACCGGCTCTACACACACCACCGCGCGCCAGTTTCCACCGCCTCGCGCGCGGTGGTGACGTTCAATTTTTCAACCGCGCTCGTTATCTCGCGACTGACGCCGCCCGAATTTCACGTCGGGAAGGTATTCAGCTCGCGCGAGACAGAGCGGGATCTTTTTTACGACGCATTTCACCGGACGGACACCACACCACCTTCTCGCGCAAATCCTGCCCGCAAGCCCGGGCAACTCGGTCTCTCTCGCCCGTGAGAGCGAAGCTCTCCTCGTGTCCCGCTCTCACTCTCTCTCCGTGTGCGAGTATTAAATTTATGAAACCGATAGCGTCGCGCGTGCCTCGGCCGAAAATTTATGTTCCGCGACGCGGGATTATGCGGAGAAATTGATCGTTAATTCGTGCGCGCTCGGAGTTGCCTCGTGATTTATACCGGAGCTTAATAAGTACGATGCGCGTAAGCGTGAAGGGGAGGGAACCTTGCTCACACAGCTGCGATGAGAATGCAACGAACGGCAGAATTGATTCCTGTGATCGACGTTTTTATGACCCCCAATAAGGATGATCTCGGCGAGTTTCGCCGGATTGTAAGTAACGGATCGAGATATCTTTCGAAAAAGAATTGTCCCATCGTGCGCCTCGAAATGAGCTTCCTTAATCGCGCGCGGTACAGTCAATTACGCGAACCGTGACGAATCGGCTGTGTACCAGCAACAGCAACGGAGACGGCGTTTCTAATCATACCTCACGAGATGATCACGCTATAAATCGCCGGGCGTTATATCATCGCTTTCACGATCAGATTCGTTATCCTCGATCACAGCGCGGCGCTTACACGTCGGGAGAGGATAATAGAAGCCCCGCGAATGCTGCACCGCGGAGGCTCGAAAGGATCCGCTACTCACGCCGCGCCGGCCGACCGGCCGCAACCATCATCCTCCCCTGCTTTGATAAGTATCATAAGTAAATCGCGATTACCGTTTGCGATATAACTCGGCGATCAGGAACGTAGCTCTGCGGTCGCACAAGGTGGAAGCCGAGATCTGGTCTCGCGAAATGGCCACGGGCAAAAATGCAAAAGCTGCGCGCTCGCTGGATCGTGCAATTACCCGGTTGGTTCCACCAGGCTGTCTCGTCTCGCGGCCAGTCTCGGAAAGAGCGTTTCTTACCGATGAGGCAGGGGAGAGAGAAGGAGAGAGAGAGGAAAAAAAGGAACGGCGATTGGGAATGAGGACGCGGAAGGGGGGAGAGAGTCTTTTTAATATCTCGCAGTCTCTCATCGGTACCGCGGCCGCCGACCAGGGAGTCGCGCGTTCCTCTCGGCTGCGACGAAAGGTCAGGTCAGCTTTAATTATCGTAAATCAAACGAGCGGGCCGCCGCACCGTGCCGGCCAAAGAGGCCCGGAGTTGCGCAAGCACAATTATTGTTGAAATCGGGGAGAATATCGGTGAACAGAGGGGACCGAGCGGTACCCCGCGAATATGCGAGGGAACGGCGATCGTGAAATATCGGTCGATCGGTTTATGTTCTTTCAAGTCGTGATTTCGCGCGATGAAGTTCTGGTTTCTTTTTGTAAGATTATAGCGCACGATTCTTGATTATCTTCAATTAATTATAAAGTTGTAATACAAATGATGTAAAAAGATCTGAGAGGCAAGAGCCGAAGAGAAATGTAAGAGTTTCGAAACTTATCTTCGTTGGTTTAATATCGCAACTCTTGCCTTTATTTATAAGCGAAGTGGTAAAATGTAAAGGTAGATTTTCTTGTTTAACAAACTCGTGTGTCATTACAGTTGTAGTTCACACTGTGCAAAATAAAAATCCTTAGCGATATCAGATCCAATTTATGAGACTCATCTTATCTCGGCCCTTTATGCTTCATCGCGCTTTTATTTCGGACAAAACGAAACGGTTAACTTGAATGCAATTTCGTTGCGGAATTGTAGATCGTTACGGGACGCGCGTTCGATATATAACTTTAGTGATGAGTCTGATAATGTTACGCCGTGAGCGCGAATTTTCATTCAACCTTAATGGCCTGGAACTACAAAAGAATATACGCGCGAGAAAGTATCGAAGAATTATATCGGCATGACGTATGCGATTCGACCTCTCGCTGTTATCAATACACTCTCCAAGAGGCCACCGCGGGGGGTAACACGCGAACAGTCGTATCTGATTCTGTTATTCGCTTAATTACGCGCCTTAACGTAGCGGTGCCGCAATCGAGTCGTGTAATACGCATCATCACCCTCCATTTTCCACTCTTTGCGCCACTCTCGCCCTCGCTGCTCATGCATTTTCGAGCTCTTTAATTCATTTAGCCGCCGTCGACGCACACGCCGCCATGCGTACGTTACGCTTCGGGCTATATTCGATTACTCTCTCACAAAAAATTGTATCCCCCCGACCTTCCAACATTTCGTGAACCTTTTGCGAAAATTTTGGAAAAAGAAGATTTGAGTGAAATTAAATCGAGGGTAAATCAACTCGAATTCGAGCAAACGCGCGTAAAGTTTGAGCTTGAAGCAAGGACTTGTACGCCTGTTCCGCCAAATCCTATCAGCAACATGTGCCACTTTCACACACGTGCAAAGTGATACGCGCGATAAGCAATCACCCTCTAACCGGGATTAAGATGTATCGGCCAATCCGGATCAGTCGGAATACTTTAATCCGTCCCACACGGTGTCATCTCGTCGACGATCTCGTCGCCGGAGCGAAGTATCAGAATCACGATCTCCATCAACTTCTCTTTTAGGTCGTAGCAGATCTCCATCTGCGTTGGACCGTGTCCCACGCGCGCGCACGCGAGCTCTCGTGCGATACCGATCGATAAAAGAATCGCACCGAGACTCCGCTCGTCGCCGTGTCTCTCGTTAGTCTGAATGACGGTTCAACAAAGTCTCGACGAGCGCGGAACTTGACTCACATTATTTAGGCACCCGGAGGTCGTGATCTGTGAACGGCCTGGAATACAATAGTGACCCCGACCTGGCTAGGCGCCGCTCCTCTATTGTCACGTGACGACATACATATAGAGCACATCCGCAACATGTTCGAACCGGAAACGGGCTCTTCGCCCGTACGCGAACGATAGATCGCGTGGAAAATTCAATACGTTAATTCAATACGACTTTCGGATCTTATTGTCAGCTCACGCTCTCTCGAAAGCCATTCAAAATATTTGCTCTACATCTAAGTCGTATACCGCGACGCGACTTCGGGCTAATCCGATTTTAGAAACTGTCACCCCGAAGGGATCCCGTCTTCTCGCACCTTTCGCATCGTTCCTAAGGAGAGTGAGACACTTGATTCGATGGGATTTTATTGAAAGACCTTCAAACGTTATTTTCGCGTGTCGATTCGAATTTCGCTGTTCTCTTATTTGTATCATTATTCGACAGTTCCGCGCGCGCACGAAATTCAGGGAAGGAAGGTACAATCCGTTGGGTCAATGTTGCCGCGGCCACGAAACGACGGCGGCGGCGACGACAGTGGTGGTGGTGGTAGTCAGTGGTAGGTGCTTGATTCGCCGGCTAAAATAACAAGGCACGTGACGCGAGAAACAAGGAACAAGGAACCCCTTGTATCTTCCTTAATCCGTCTCTCTTCGTTTCGTATGCGGCATCTCTCGTTGCTGCTTGTTCATACACTCCCGTGTATATACCGTACCTCGCGCGCTCACTTCTGCGAACGTAGCGTCGACCGAGCAAGGATCTCTCGACGGTGCTCTCTCGGTGCTGCTCGGTGCTGCTGTTGCAGGTACCTTTTGTTAATTAAGAGGCGTCATGTGTGGTCTCTCACCCCGGTGTGAGCGGACGTACCGTGAAACCGTACATGAATGCACAGTGGCTCGTGTCTCTGTCTCGTCTCCCGACGCGATACGTGGTCAACCCGCATAGTAGCCACGTGGGGTTCGAGGATGCGAATGCACATCGTGTTCGCATTGCACATGTGTACGTATACGTAGTCCGGTCGTTGTCTGCCTGCCTGCCTGCCTGCCTGCTAGGCGTATCTAACGGAGACACGACTAACTAGCTCGTCCGCCGTGGCTAACGAGGAAAAGAGAGGGGGGGAGGCCTCACATGCTCGCTGGCGCCGCGACCAGGTGATTCGGCGACGATATGAGACCGGATACAACGTTTCCATCCGGGCACTATCGCCCCATTCGATCGACGCCGAATTATCGGAAACCGATGACAATTCTCCGATCGACGGGCCGACACGATTGCACGCGCGTGTCGCGTGACGTCTCCCCGATTAGGCTCTTCTCGCCCCGATTGTCGCAAACACATTTTTTTTTCTTTTTTTTCAATAGTACCGTTATTAATCGATGGATCGAAGCAAATGTGGCTTTCGGAACTGACTGCGGAACCAATTCAAAATATGTATGTACGCGTCATAATCCGGCGAGTCGCATACGTTGCCCGACTACGAGCGTGTAAAATGAATAATGATCGTGACGCTCTCTCCGTTCTCTCTCTCGCGGTCATCGAATATTCATTATGCCCAAGATTCCACGCGGCCGCTCGGAATAATTATCTAGAACCGATGGCGGAACTTTTTTCCGTCACTGACTCGGCATTACGGTGTGTCGCGTGACCTGGCTCAATTAAGTCGTCTCTGTTTCGTGCTTGCATTCCCTCTCTTCGCGTTCTTGTTTTCGGCGTTTAAAAATCTTGTAGCTGGGTAGCCGGCCGAGAGCCGCTACAACGTAAAAGAACTAACCGTGTCGCTGAAAACTATTAAAAATACATACGAGTCGACTCTGACCAACGACGACGGCGCAACGCCGTATTCGATTTGGCGCCGAAAGAGACAGAGATCGAATCGCTCAGCGCGTTCCTATCGATAATCCGATCTGCTCAAATTATCGGGAACCAATGAAAATCCCATTCCAGCTCGTTCCACTTCCGCGCATCGCGTGACGTCGCTCGATTAAATCCACGTCTTGTTATCGCGTGCACTCTTTTCCTTTGTATATATATCCAATACGCTGGAAAGGCCACTATCGGCGCGCCGCTAGTCCGCCGTGCAAATAGATCGTAGCTACAAATTATACAGCGTCCGCGTCCAATTCGCAAGACGAGCTCGGCCATAAACGCGCTCGAGGCAACTGCAATTAGGAGAGAGAAATCCCCTCGCGCGGAATATAGAACCGACAATTCCAATTGGAGTCTGATAGTTATTCCGCATCGATATATTAAACGCCAAACCTTTGGCTTGTATGCGACGTTACGTTACGTTAATAAACAAGATGTATGACAGGCAATACGACGACTCGCGTGATACTTCCATACATTCACCCTACGAGCAATATCGTGTGTGTCGTGCCGTACAATAAAATCCCGGACGAATGCATACGCATGTTCGGAACGGTTAACGAACTGGCCGCATGCGCCCAAACGGCTAACGAGAATTCATATGGATGAATTCGCCATCAGGAGAAACCGGGTAGAATGATTTCGATGGGTCCTATCGGCCATTCGATCTGCTCGAATTATCGGAAACCGATGAAAATCCTATTTTACTTGCTTCTCGTACAAGTGCGTCGCGCGTTACCGAATTCCGGTTCTGACTCCGCCGGCGCCGTCGCCGCTGCCCGCGCCGCGCCGTTGTGTTCCATTCAACCCTTGGCAATTGCCAACTCCATTGTAACAACGTCGTAATCCCTCCCCCTTCCCCTTCCTCAAGGACAGTGTCATATATTTTTTTAACGCGTTTATTTGATTTTGTTATCTCGGCGATATTCGTTTCGAACATTTACGAACAAACGTTAGGACGAATCAACCAACGTTATTGTCAAAACTCAGAAAAGACGGTTACCAATTGTGCATCACTAATCAAGACTACTATTTATGATTAAACGGTGATGCAAACGGTGAGCGAAAATAAGTTGCAGTTATCACAATTTCACTATACTTTTTAGTTATTTTTATAATTATTTTAACAATGCGAATTATAGTTGACTCAATTCTACATTATTGTTGTATACATGGTTTTATACACTGTAACCTGTAATTTACGTATAAGTAAGTACTATAATAATCGTAGTATAAATATGATGAAAATGACCATAATTGAAAAATTTATGCATATAAAGTTATTTTTGCTAATATTATAGCAATAATAACTATACAAATAAGAACCTCAACCATAATTATTTTACTATACAATTATAGTCGCAAATACCAAGCACCTTTCTCTCAGTGTGCACAATTGGCAACTGCCTTCTCTGAGTTTTGACGATAATATTAGTTACTTTATTCATAACGCTATTCTCGTGCATCTTATCGTGCTAAAGCGATCGATCGTAAGGCGATACACACATCTGCATTGATCCCGTGATACATCGCGTGCATTCATCTCGTATCGCCGTTACAATCCGGCAACTCCGACACAGACAATATGCGAGTGCGTTTCGTGTCCCGTTAGTGTTAACGCGCGCCGCTTGATTTCTTCATCCTTATATTTATGTCGCGGCGGCAGTATCGATACGCTCGATATCGGAATTTACGTTGACAAATCAAGCACTGTGTGCAAAAAATGGAATGCAGATGGAGTTTATTACTGCGGCGCATTTTTTTAAGCTTCTCCACACAGACTGCAAAAGAGAGAGAGAGAGAGAGAGAGAGAGACAGACGACGATATAGGGTGGCGCGTTTATCGCGATAGAAATTGTGGCCCCCAGCCAAATGTCGCACGGGGATAAAGGTCTAACCACTCGTTGGCGGAAAATACATCGGACTTGTGCACCGGTGCGCCGCGTAAATCCGAAAATTCATTACTGCAGTGCGCGCACCGCGATTGTTCGTAGCCGGCGTTCGTTCGCCTGTAGTCGGCGAACGAACGCGCGAAGCGGCCGCTGCATTAATGGCCCGGGCGTCAGGATTTACAGGAGGGACACCATTGTTGACAGGCAAATATAAAATTTTCACGACTCCGATAGAACGCACCGCATGAATAACGATCATCATCGAATTAATAACTGGTAACCGTGAGTTACGGTCACGGCGTATTTGGAGTGTAGACCAGTAGACGGCTGACTCTGCCGCGTCGCCAGATTTTCGCTGATTACGAGGCATTATGACGGCAATAATACTGCGGTCGATCCGATTTATTACCTAGCAATAGGCACCATTACGTGTCACGCTTAACTGCTTTCCACGAAATTCATTTGCACCCTATATAAGAACAAATCGTTGTTACTTCTGTCTTCGATATAATAATGGATATACTTATAGTATTATTACGCGCGATTATAAAGGGCTATAAAAAAACATTTTCTAAAAAGTTGAATTATCCCTTTTTGCCAGAAGGTGAAGATGCTGCGGAGGAGGAGGACTCTTATCTCTTGGAAGACGACGACGTGCCTTCGGCTACGATAGCCAGCGATACCGAACTCATTTCTGAAGGCGGCGGTCATTTACCAGTTTTCCTCACGGAGCCCGTAAACTCCTTCGTCGTGAAGAACAAGCCCGCCGTTCTACGTTGCAAAGCCGCTCACGCGCTGCAGATCTATTTCCGTTGTAATAACGTGAGGGCGGAGGATTCGCAGCAGCAGGATTTCGTGGATCCCCACACGGGAACGAGGATCGTCGACTGCGAGCTCAATGTTACGAGGGATCACATCGAGGAGTACTTCGGCAAGGATAAATTCAAATGCGAGTGCGTCGCCTGGTCTGGATCGGGACAGATTAGAAGCCAGCCGGCAACCATCGACGTCGCCTGTGAGTATACAAATAAGATCATATTAGTATACAATATCGTCTATAGTGCGATTCTAAAAGTATTAACTTACCGGTAAAATTTTTAAACTGACAACCGCAATGACGAATTATTAATGTTAGATTACACTCTTGTTTTTTAGTCAGAAACGGTTCTTATTCTCGGTGTAGGTGAGGTATATTATGAATCAGAAAGGATTGAAATAAACGTCGCGAGAATTCTGGGGACAGCCGACTTTTCGTCTCACTTTGCCTTTGTTCTCTCTTAATTATCTTGATTCTCCTGCCAGCGAACTCGTTATTTAATTCTGTCCCTTAATTGACGACAACGCAATGAGCGCCGAGTTTCCAAGAGAATCAATTTAAAGGCAGAACCACTTGGCCAATTTCAGAGTTGCATAACTCAAAAGCTAGACATAAAAATGTGTTTGGGGAGATAGAAGAACACACCACGTATAGATCGCTGAGTAAGCTTAGATAGAAAGACACGGCGTAATATAAAAACAAGAGTGACAATATCAAATACTAAAAATATTATAATTTTTCCAAATTTCATAATGCGCCTAAATTTTAACCCTAGCCCGTATAGGTTTTTTTTGGCCTCGTTTTTGGCACCTTTACGCCACATAGGTGGGTCGTTTTCGTCTTGACGTTTTTTTTTAAGTGTTAAAGTGTTACAAAAAATCTGAAAAAATTCATGGAGGTAATTCAAACCTTCAATTTGAAGTATCAATCATAAAATTATAAGCAATTTAATTTTTTCACATATTTTTTATTTAAGAAATGGAGCAACTACAACTACAACTGGTAAAATCATGTTTTACTCAAAAAATCATAACTTTAAGACAAATAAAGATATCGAAATGAATAAAAAAGGAAATTGAAGGGAAAAAACGTACCTTTCATAAAAAAAATATTGCATGCAATTATTTTTAAATGAAGTGCTTAAGTGTTCGCCGCAAACCTTGTTTTTTCAAGAATTACGTGTCTCCTGTGACGGCTGGAGGGGGTCTGGCGCCTTGAAACTCGGTAGGCGGGTTCTCGGGGAGCATAACTTTTTTTACGGATGCGCAGTGGCGCCATCTCTACGCGTTTGCACCTATACGGGTGAAGGGTTAATTTTCATTCATTTCATTTCAATGGCGCAACAGTCCGAGTTGGACCTATAGGCCTCCCCCAAGGCCCCAAAGTCATGTGCTTGTGGTATATACGCACGCAGGTTGTACACAAGCACATGGGACCTACAGTTTAACGTCGAATCCGAACGGCAAGGTAGAGGGGGTTTCGTGGCAAGGGATACTCCTGACGGGCTGCCATTCCGTCGAGGAGGAAAGACAAGCGATGCAATTTATTTATTTTTGGTTCTACCAGGACTGGATTCGAACCTGAGATCTTTGGTTTAGCAGACCAGTGCGCTGTCTGCTACGCCACGCTCGCTCTCAAACTTTAATTTTAGCCTATTATTATTCTTTTATTAAAGCGAGGATGTATAATTATTCCTTTCAGATCTGAAAAAGCAATTCGAATCGCCACCGTACTCCGTGTCCGTCGAAGCAGGTCAGAGTACCGAACTTAGGTGCCTGCCTCCGGTGGGAGTACCACCGCCTAGAGTTTACTGGTTAAGAAATAATATTCCTGTGGACACCGAGTCGGACACACTTCTGGTGTCCAGCGAGGGTCATCTTCTTATTGGACAAGCGAAACTTAGCCATCAGGCGAACTACACCTGCGTTGCCGAAAATATCGCGGCGAAACGACTGAGCGACGCAGTTAGCTTAACAGTATACGGTAAGCTCACGATCAACAAAGATTCCCTTTTTATAAATTATATATAAATAACCTTCGCTGTATGTATTATATATTTCTCAGCGTTACAACAATAAGGTCTAAAAGTTTTCGACTCCATATAAAAAAAAGGTGATAAAATAAAATTTGTATTTTTATTTTTTCCAAAAATATAATTAATTATAAATTTTATTATTTATTTAAATACATTTTTTTAGAACAATGAATTAATTTTCCTATATCACTACAAAATATTTTCAATTTTTTTTCTCCTAAAATAATTTAATACTGCAGAAATCACTTTATTATTACCGATAATTTTTTTTTCATGCGAATCAGACTTCAGTTTCGAAAATTATTTTTTATTTTTAAAATTGAAAACTGAAAAATAAAAAGGTTGTTTCATTTTATCACTTTTCTGATTTACCTTTCCTTGAGCAGAAAACAGAAGACTTTACTATATCTGTTTCTCCCTTTATATTAAAAAAAAAAAACTTTTACTGATTTCGATTAGTTAACGGTGGCTGGTCTTCCTGGTCGTCCTGGTCGGAATGTCACTCGCGATGCGCGAAAGGCGGTCAGAAGAGGACGAGAACGTGCACGAATCCAGCGCCCATGAACGGCGGTCAGCCATGCCTCGGCCCCTCTCAGCAAAAGATGGACTGCAACTCGGGCTGCTCCGGTGAGTCCCCTTGAATTCATTATCCGCGCGCGCGCGTGCGCGAGCGTAAGATTTTCGAGGAAGAAACTCTTCTCTCTACTGAGGAATCTTCTTGTCTACCTTCGTGTATCTCTTTGTTATGTCCTAACTTACTACGACGACGTCGCTCAAAGTACTTAACTTGTAAGCAAGCGAAAATAGTGTCTTCCTCTTTCCTCTCTCGGTTAGTGTCGGTCAAACGATAGACAAGTAGGATTTTGCCATCGCGCAAGACGATATTACTGATGCCGAAGAGAGAAGACTCTTCGGTTGATTTACGATCTGATCCCCCCTCTGTCGTCTCTGCGTCCTCTTTCCCCGTCGAGCATATCTATTGCACGTGCCACACAGTCTCTTCGGAATATACCGTCAAGTCTTTTAAATCGTATTCACCTTTCAAAACGTTTGCGACATCTTAAAGGCACCTGTGGCTATCCCCGTAAAGAATATGCAGACTGCATGCAAATGACCGAGGCTCACGAGGATAATGCCCGAGGAAAGTCGGCGTCCGCTTTATATCGGCGGTTTAAGACATTGATCGATCCGATATTCTTTCGTCGTTTCCACGCGAGAGACACGTTAAACACTCGCACTCGACGTTGGTTAATGCACTCACCACGCACTTTTTTTATTCCCTTTAACGCTCGCTCGCTTTGGAGTAGCCGGGGCTTTGGAAGAATTCACTAACACCCTGGGTAAGTCCTTCACATGTGCATGAATCATGTCCCTCATGCCCGGAACGAAAATTAAACCGCGACACATACGACCGGACTGCCGCGACCGCGTGTAAGGGCGTTTTAATAAAACGTAGTAAACCGCCGGCAAGTGCGCCGCCGCGCTATTTATTCGATGGCGCTTAAGTGCCAATAAAGTAGCCGGTTTGGAACGAGGGATTAGCGATTGTAAACGGGTTTGGCGCGTCTTTAGTTGGTCACCTTCCTGATTTCTCTTTTTTTTCTTTTTCGCTTCACGCGTGCTGATTTTAAAGAAAAGCTTGTCGATACGAGTCAATTATATATAAGGGAAATAAATGTCGTTATAAGAGCCGTTACAGCGGCAATAAACGTAACCGAATTGACAAGTGTGGTCTCTCACCAACGATACCGCGGGGATTCGTGCCCGAGTTACGAGCCCGTTTTGTCCTGTCGAACTTTTTTATTATTGCTACACGTCGATCGGATACCGTCTTAACGACTCTGAAACGAAACGATGCCACGATTTTGTTCTTTTTACTCCCAGCCGTGGACGGACAATGGTCCAGATGGTCGGCATGGTCGGTGTGTGGGAGCGACTGTACGCACACGAGGAGGAGATCGTGCGACGATCCGCCACCCAGCCACGGTGGACGATCTTGCCAAGGCAGGGACATCAACGTGGCGAATTGCACAGGCGGCATGTGCAACGGTAAGTCCAGCGGCGAACTTTTCTATGTCTTGATTGCGTCTTTCGCCTGTTGCGATCTTTTTATGTACCGTAAAGTTCCGGTGATTCACGTTCCGTAAACTGCGATAGTAATGTACTTCTCATTTTGCATAAAGTAAATAAATATTATCTTTGTTTAATTCTTTTAATGTTAACACAACAATTTTATTGAAATAAAAGATAGTCATTTTTTTTTCTTTAAAACGGGCGATAATATATACATTCTTAGGAATTTCTTAAAATCTAAGATAAAATCTCAAATCTATTGTAGATTTAGTTGCAACATAAAACAAATCGCGTTAACTAGCAGACATACGGCATTTCGCGAAAGTAGTTTTATCAGTGCTATCGAAATCCTTTAATTATCCAACTTACCGGCGTGTTCCTTTTACAGTCGGCAACGCGAAGGTGGGCGGCGCTCATTTAACCGAGGAAGGTGAGTTGGGCAAGCAATAAAGCATTTTCCTGCTCTTTTAATCTCCCGCGATCCGTTTCCTTTTACGATTTTACCACGCGTCGTTTCCCGTGCCCGTTCGTTCTCGAGCCGATCGTGCCCGCGCCGCTGCCGCGCCGCAAAGAGAAAAGTTTCTCGATTAGATAAGCTACGATCTCTCTGCGATGTACGCGGACCTTCTCCACCGATTCGTTCCGGATTTGTAGACGCTCGCAAAAAAAAATAAAACGAGACGAGAGGAGGAGTAGGAGGAGTTCGCCTCGCGCGTATAAGGGGCGCGACCGAGGCGTTCAACCGCGAAGCAAATGTCCTTAACTCGTCGTGCGACATTCTTGGATGGATTCTTCACGCCCGGTGCACGCCATTTATATTCCCGGCGACGCGGCGCTATGCTCGACGATCTGATACCATTCAAATCAGATGTTTTATGCACCTCGAAAAAGGCGGCAAAAATAGAGAGAGCCGTGAATCCAGGCGCGGTGAACATTAGCATTATTCATTACTCCGGTATAATAACGCGCGAGTTGGGGCACTCGCGCGTCATGTATCAGGCACTTCGATCTCTAAAACGCGCTTATACCGAAAAATAATTCCCGGGAATGAAACGAAAGGCTGACTGACTGCCCGTGATATCGCTCGCTTTACCCGCGACGTATTTGCGGACGCGTTTTTCCGCGTCGATAACGAGAGAGCGCGCGGACGGGCACTATTTACTTTTAATTACTCGACCGGTTAATTATTGACGCTGCCGCGAAGGCCCGACCGTGATCGTCGCGACCCCTCATTGCGCGATCCAAACAATCGTAACAATGATGCGAGCCCCGTAGTCAAGGGTGGCCCACTGGTCCGTACAGACGCCAACCTCCCGCCCCCCGACCGCTCGCGCTACCCCAAAGGTAGCCAATGCTATCGACCGAAGCACATCAAAGTTGCACGCGATACGGCTGCACCCTCTCTACCCCCCTCCCCGCCCCTTTGCGCCGTGGGGTGGAGAGACTGGCTTTAATATCGAAGAAAATTATGTAATCGGTAGCCGTTACGCCCTCGCCGCGGAAGGGGGAAATTGATCGCGCATGCAAATAAAGTGCCATTATCCCGTGGCTCAGACCCGAGCGTGTACACGACTGGATCTCCTCCTCGAGGGGGTTGGATGCCCCGAAACAGCCCCTTTGAATCCAGAAGTGAGTTCGATTTTCCTGAAAGCGGCGATAAAATATAGATGGAAGATACCGCGCGCGCGCGCGCTGCCGGAGAAACGTGATGCGATTTACCATCTTACGCCAGCAGGCGTATAGTCTTGCGAGGAACCCCCGAGTCATCTCGGACGTCCCTGGTTTAAATATTTAAGACACGATGCCGTCAATCGAGGTGGAACGTTTACAGTGGCAGTGGACAGCTCATATTGATCGATGCTCGCGAGTGTGTGTCGAGAGAAAGAGAAAGATGCAGCGAGAATACGAATTATAGGACTTCATTCTAATGATGATGTAAATATAAAAATATATGTTTTTTTTATCAATATAACAATAATAATCACAAAGCGAAAATAAACAACTTTATCAATTCAAACAGAACTCTCGAAAGCATTTGTGTAACGCGCGCGACCTCTCGGAAATAAAGATGAAAAATAGCTTCAGATACATTAGGTCCGGTTTATGAAGCGTTATCAATAGCTTCGAAGAAAATAAATCTCGACGCCCCTGTGGAAAGCCACTTTTCAAGCTGTCTTTAGGAGGAGGGTTTGGGGAATCGTGCACGCGTTTCCCGATCTCGTCCTGCGAGTAACGACGTGGAACTATTGCGTTTTCGAAATCCCTCCTCCGAATTCGTATGCATTTTCGTCGCTTTCGTGGTATATTGACGTGCGAGGCACGTGTCGGGGAACGCGGCGTACGCCAACGAGACACACATGATCCCGCGAAAGGGAGTTTGGGTGCTCGAAAGTCACGTAGCAGGGTTACGACCTCGTATGGCTTTGACATTCTAAAATTGGAAGAAGCTTTAAGAGTGTCAGGCACTCTTCGCGCGCGGCGCGGGCGGGCGGTTGAGGAGGTATTTCTCGAAAATTTTTACGATCGCGGGGACATTTTCTACGCCGCGTCTCGTTGCCGTAGAACCGCGCCTACGGGGGGCTACCGTGGATGCTTAAGCACGCGAGGTAATCCAGTAAAAAGGAAAAATTGCCCATAATTCAGATGCGCGGTAAAGAGTCGCGCCGCGCCGCGTTTTACTACGCGCCCAGTTTTACTTTCGAGAATTTCATTTCCTTTGGTTGCGCATTTACTTACATTATCCATATATCCGGAACGCGACGACGCGACGGTCGTAAAGCACGACCGCGGTGAATTTCATATCCGCGTAAGCGTGTCTCCGCACGATCCTCGACGAGACCTTCGCGTAATTTCGTCTATACACCGCATGTTTCGCTAAATAATACTCGTTATATTGCGGGTGCAATCCTTTTTATCCGATCGTTTCAAACCTGCTTCCCACGTCGCGCGGATTTCTCGGGAGAGGCACAACGACACCAACTAAAATTATTATTCCGCTCGAAGCGCTGTTCGCGTCGCGGTGCTTTTATTGCGTACGTTAATGGCGGCGATAATAATGATCGGAATCTTTATAGCCTCACGAAATAACGCGAGAAGCTGTAAAACGATAAACTGACGCGCTAAAGAAAACGAGCGCGCTAAGGAAACGAGCGTGTCGCCCCGGTGTAAATGGAGAGGAACCTTAAAACTTTCCTACGACGCTCGTAATATTTAGCGACGCGCAGACGTTTAACGCTCTATGATGCTTTTAGGCTTCTTTTGTCGTCAACAAAAGAAGTCTCGCGTACAAAGTAAATAAAAGTTACGACGTTAAGGATTCACGAGAAAGCGGTTGAGGTCGCTCGGTGTTGCACGGTATAGATTGAAAATTGTTTTTACACCGTTTACGGTAATAAGCGCCCGACACCATCCTCCAGCTAGGAAAGAGCAAAATTTTTACGCGACCCACCGTTCCTTCTATAAAAGATAAATAATGGAAGATGGGGAGATATTAAAAATTCGCAATATGTGATTCTATTATAGCGAATCGCCAGATGGACGTAGCCTTATATGTCGGCCTAACGGTCGCCTGTGTTGTAATTGGCGGCTTGGCGATCTTTCTGGCGAGACTTCTGCGACGGAAAGGTCGTGATCACTCTTTGTACTCCATGGCTCGTAATGGTAAGCATTTCAGAGGTAAAAACGAACGTAATGTTACATCAAAGGCAAGAATTATATATTTCGGCCACATCCTAATTACGCGAGATGCAAAACTAAAGATTAACATCCTCTTCGTGATAACTAAAGTACAAAAATTGAAACGAAAAGGGCCAATGACCGAGCAACAATAGTTGTTAATTAATTAACTTATTAATTTGCATACCTATATACAATATATAAATTATTCCGACTTCACAAAGTCTTCTTCAGCCATAACATAATAAAACATTTAAAGGTAATATATTGACGTATCATAGAGAACAGATTGAAATAAGTTAAACGTTGAAACAAACTATATAAAAGTAAACGAAGAAAAATGAGATAAAAAGTCGTAATCTAATAAAATTATCATAAGAAGCCACATCACAGTTTGAAAACACGACAAATACATAACTAAATTTTGTCGTTGCATCTGTATGGTCAGAGTGTAAAATGAAGATGAAACGCAGTCAGTGGTTAGAAAATCCATAATTAATTCCTCGTTCGGAGGCGAGAATAAATCGGGTTAAATAGTAAGAATTAAAGTCGTCAGAAATGTTGTTAATTCCGGTTGGATAGTCAATCATATAAAAGAAAGTTCTAAAAAAAATTGTATGTAACTAATTTGAATATTGTTAAAGGTACAGTGTAATTTGGAAGTCTATTATTTACATATTTGCTAAGAAAAGTTAAACGTGACAACTTTCAATGTGCGATGTAATGCTCTTGTTCGTGTCATGTCTGCCAAGTGACTGAACAGTTGTGGAGCGATCAAAGTTATACATAAATATAGGTAAATAATAAATAAATAACACTGAACAGTATATACAATTTTATGTGTTAGATAAACCAAAATAAATTAAATTTTACAATTAGTTAATTCGTCAAGTATGCTAAAATGTGAGTAATCAAGCAATTCTGTGTTTTTGTTTAGACTTTATCCCACTTTTTTTGTTCCTTGATATGTAATATTTCTGATATAAGTCTTTTATGAAAGTTAGGTTCAGAGTCAAGTATTTCCATATGTTGTCCTAATCAAAAGTGTGGTTGAATTTAATAATATGTTCAAAACGTACTAATTTATATATTGTATATACAAATTAATAAGTTAATTGTTAAATAACTATAGTTGCTCGGTCATTGACCCTTTTCATTTCAATTAAAGGTATTACGTTACGATTAATTAAATGCGCGAATGAAACAAATGTTCAGGTCTCGTGTTACTTATGCTTGTTAAATTATTTCCCATAATGTTTCATGCTCATTATCGCGATTGGAAATGGGCAAGATACTATTTCGAGATTAATAAAATAGTACCCATTGTTTTCATTTCGTAAAAATTGAATGATAAATAACTAATCACCTAGACCGCAAAGTAAACGAAAACGAAATATCGTTGAAATATTAATGATTGACAGACACGGCAACCTATATCGACATATCGTAATATCTCATTTCTCTTTCGTAACAACGAACGAAACGCGCCAAGTCTTTCGACTCGTAGCCCACACACGTAAAATCGGAATAGTATCTCGGCGGCGTTTGTCCGCAGCGCGCAGAGATACCCACGAGCCGTGCCTCGGCCGTGTGCGTTTCAGAATTCCAGCCGGAGTTCTTCCCGGATCAGGACAAGAAGCTGAGCCTGCAGCCGGATGTGACGGCGACGAGTGTGCCGGCCTGCTACGAGTATCCTTTCGACCCGAAGCTGTCGATGTCGAGATCCCTTTCGGAACACCACTACGACGTCCCGCACTTGTCGATCGCGCCGCAACCGTCGCCGATGTCGCCCACGCCGAGCACGTCGACCCAGGAGTCCTGCAGCGACAAGCAGATCCATTCCGACAGCGAGAACAGCGTCACTAGCTCCTACCCGTCCTCGGACTCGACGTACAACGTCGCCTCGGAGAGCGTCCGGTTGCCGAAGCTGGAGGCCGGAAACGTCGCGAGGGCGGCGGTGAACACGCGCGGCGCTCTGCTGGTCCTCCCAGACTCCGGGATCTCCATGTCGGTGCCCGAGGGAGCCGTTCCCAAGCCGCTCCGGGAGGAGCTCTATCTGGCGGTGCTCAACGAGGATCGTTACAGGCCCCGATTACCCGGTGAGTGCAAATTATTCATGGCGCTACCACTCCGCGGGAGGCGGGACGCCGAGCTTTACGATCGCAGCTGCGAACCTTTGCAATCGAGACACCCGCGATAGCGCCGATGTTATTTTTATATCAACGCCGTTCCGCGCACGTGCTTCGCGCGAGTTATATCCTGCTTGATTTCATGTTCAATATAGGGCATCGCTATAATACACCGGTTCTTTTGTGTTGGAGATAAAACTGTCTAAGGAAAAGAAAAAGATTTAGCACAATTCTTGATAACTTCCTTTTACCCTTGATTGGAAAATTATACGCGCGTATATGTTAAGTATATTAAACACAATTAATCAAGTGAGTGTAATATGACGGATATTGCAACAACAACACCGGTGATAACGATAACGTACAATAACGGCATTAAGTTCGATAATTCGCGATATCACATTCATGCCGCTGTTATTTCCGCCGTATATCGTCCACGCCGTTCGAGTCTCGAGCCTGGTTTTTTCCCCCCACAGACGGAATAACTCAGTTATCAGCTGTGGTGACCTGCGGTCCGTCATCCGCGACCTTCAACAAGCCCGTGATCCTCCAATTTGAGCACTGCGCGATGTTGCATCCGGCAACTTGGGAACTGAGCGTTTGGGCATGCGACGGTATCAACGTTGACGACGGTGCGTCCTCGATCGCGTCGAAGGATCATCAGTCAATTACGTGGAGCAGAGTACTGACTCTAGGCAACGAAACCATCAACACACCGCTGTTCACGCAGCTCGATCACGCGGAAGCTTTCATCGTGACCGAGCAACTCCGCGGCTACGTGTTGGCCGGGCAGAGCTGCGAGAACTCGATCGCTACGAAAAGATTGCGATTGGCGCTCTTCGCCAGCCAGGCCGGCCAGTGCTGTGTACGCGTTTACGCCGTGGAGGACACGAAGGCGGCGATGAAGGCGATCGTCGATCGGGAATCGCAAATCAGGGGCTATCTGTTGGACAAGCCGCGCACATTGCTGTACCAAGACAACGGGGAGTCGCTTTGCGTCAGCCTCGAGGAAGTCGGCAACGAGTGGCAGAGCAAGTCGCCTACGGAACGTCAGGAAGTCCCGTTCCGGGACGTTTGGAACCGTCAGGAGAACGCCAAGCACGTGACCTTCGGCCTGGACACGGCCTTTGGCCCGACCACCACGAGGAGCTACAAGCTGCAAGTCTCGCAGGGAAACTCTGACACGAGACAGGTCTTCAGAATCGTTTACGACGGCGCAAAACAGTTGATCTCTTCGGGTAGCGTCACGAGGCCACTCAGGGAAGTCACCGTGGTTAGCAGCGGACACGCTAACAACGCCACGACCGACTCTACCACTCTGCGACCGTTTCGGTTTACGAGATCTCTGAGGAAGCAGCTCTGCCAATGCTTAGACCCGCCGAACGCTCTGGGCAACGATTGGAGAATGTTGGCGCAGAGGCTTCAAGTCGACAGGTTAGTAACCCGGCCAGCAACTTTCCGTTTTGCTCGTGATTAAGAGTAAAGCTATTTCAAATACGTAGCTATATTTATGCAGAGCAAAGAGATTCATATCTTCAACGCAAATCAACCAACACAGTAATAGCAAATATTTGCTTTAACAATAAGATAATAACGGTTTCTCTTAAGACGGGTTAATATAATTTAATCGTCCGTGTTAATTTTTTCACTTGCATGACTAATTTTAAAAAATCAAAATGTCCACAAAGTCTATTTAACGAAGTTCTATATTATTCACGTGTTCGTGTTTATCTCGTTAATATAAACTTTCCCCAAACGCGCTCTATTTCGTCGACGATAACCTGTACCACGGTAATCACGCAGCCGGTGTGTCTTCGTACGTGTATAACAGGTACATCAATTACTTCGCGACTAAGGCCAGTCCGACCGAGCACATTCTGGACCTGTGGGAGGCTAGGCACCGGGAACCGACGGCGGTAACGGATCTGCTGAACCACCTCAGAGTAATGGGCAGGACGGACGCCGCCACAATTCTGGAAGCGCAGCTCGGCCCGTGGCTTTGAATAAACCAGAAAACCGGATCTTGAAAAGCGTTTTCAGCGGTGAGTGAAAGTCGAGAGACCGCGTTGTACGCCCACCCTTGCGAGAGAAGTGATCAGTGAATCAGTGTGTGATCGAACGGCGAACCGATAAACTCGAAAGACCGATCGACGAGTGAAACGGATCACCCCGAGTGAGTGAGTGCGTGCGAGAGAAAGAGTGAGACGAAGGAGGCAGGAGAACTGTCGGTTCTCCGAACGGACTCATCGAAACACTGCCTTAATTATGCGCGACAGACCGTCGATACTTTGTAAATAAACGTGAGAGTTATAGTTATAGTGGAGAGCACGAGGATGATTCTCTAAGAGATCCACGGCCGCATTGAGAGATCCACGGACTGAGGAATGCTTATCCGAGAGTTCAAGAGCGCGACGTGAAAAAAACCCGCATATAATCATGACGAAGTAATTAGGGACTGTGCATTTATTGACGGACATACGTGTACATATATACGAAGAAACTAACGCGCGCAGATACAGATGGATATATCCATTTTAGAGATGGATGTTTATATATATAAATATATGTTATATATATATATATAGATATATATACAGGACACCAAGTAAAGTTCGAGCGGGAATCGGCGATATCCGCGACACATTGACGCGACGAACGTGAATTTCTTTTTTCTTTTTTTATCGATTTGTTAACACGAATGCACGCGAGCACGAGCGAGTGATTATTACTTTTCTGAGAATCGTGCCAAAATTACCTCGGTTTCGTAAGCGTATGTACACTTCCGTTATTGTTACATCAGAGGTTTCGTGAACGCCGTACATCTTTTTTATGTGTGTCGACAATACAGATCGCGGTACACGAAGAGTACAACGGTTTGGCGCGCGTTGCTCACGAACACGAACGGAGCGACGCGCGATCGCATAAAACGAGCTAATTTACGACAGACATGATTTAAACGACAATTTATTTGAGAGAATTGTATATTTGTTACTTTCGACGAATAAAATATTCTTGTATACCTCAGAGTCAAGCACGTTCGTTTGTCATTATGGTACCCGAGATTTCCATCCCTCTTCCATTTTTAATAAAATATTTTATTCTATTAAATTTATTAAAATGCGAAACTTTGTTTTCCTGTTTATATATTTGCTAATATACTTCCGAAATGTCTTCAAATATTTTATTTTATAACAAATTTGGGTAAATTTATCTTTATCTCAAATTATAGTCTCTTTGATATAATGAAAAAGTATTAATGCAAACGCGGTATAATCCATTCCTAAAATCTTCACGTAGAATCTTTCGACGTGAAATCTCATATCAAGGATATGCTGCTGATGCTGTAAAGAACGTTGCACCGTAATAACTCTGCAAACATACTTTATCGGCATACTGTCAATAATTTTTTGCCAGCGGAGGAACATCCTTCTTGGCCGGTATTAAAGGCGCACCTTCGCGCGCGCGAGCGCGAGGGCTGTATATTACTTCAATTTCAGCTTGTCTCCGGACGTACGACAGGGACAAGATATTCTATCTTCCACCTCCTCGATCCCGGTTGCGACGGCCTTCCTCGATTTTCTCCCGTCGAAAATAGGTACGTACTTTTGCGGAAGTCGAAGGAGGCGGAAATAGGTGACAATGGACGTCGAGCGTCGCAATTTTGAAATGTCGATACCAGTCACGCGTGCTTTCTCTTCGTTTTCTCGGTCCAAGTTTATCCATACGAATCTTTCCCCAAGCTTTCTCAAATTCGACAGTATTTCACGATATTTACGTAGTCTCGATATAATTCGCTTACCACATGCTGCGTTTCGTAGCAATATGACTTTTAAATTTTTAGGATGTCTCTATCAAACATTTTTGCATCTTTATCTAGAAACAACCGTTCACCTTTGTTTAACACAAAAGAGAAATATTGATCAAATAAAATCTCCAATAATATATAAAGTCGGTCTTTTTTAAATCCAAGAATAAGCTTCGTCAATTAAATGAAAAATTAGTTTGCCCGACGCATATGTCTGTGAGAGCACGCAACATTTAAATGGATTGAAACAAAAACGTTACAATAAATTCGACTCGGTCGAACGGCGGGGAGGAGCTCGATTATCGAAACCGGCGTTTCCATCGTATTTGTACGTATTAGTACGATAAATTAAACTTTATCTGATTCAATAAATGCTTTATGTATATACGTACGCTGCTGAATTGTGGAAAACTTTCATCGCTGCGCTGGCGACCTGTGCCGGAAATTAAACGGGTAAGGTAGTAAGGTGGCATTCGATGATGGTGGAATGGGGATATAGTATAGAGGCAAGAGGAAAGTGTTTAAAGTTCTTTCTAATCGCGCGGCAAAAAATGACAAACATTGAAATTGGCTTTTTGAAGCACAATTTTACAAAAATGTCAGCTGCATATCAGATAAACTGTTTAACTTGCTAGATAGAATTTCTTTACCATAGTATATTTTTTAACATAACGAGAACATGTCGCGTGTGTGTGTATATATATATATATATATATATATATATAAATTACAGTAACATGAAGCAAGGTTATTTTTCAACGTATCAAACGTACCAAACGGGACTTTTTACTCGATGATCGCGTGCTCTTTGTAAACAAGTTGATCGTTTATCACCTTTCTCTCTCTTTTTTCCAGCTTGGAAAATATTTTCCCTTCGCTTTTCGATATCAAATGGTAATCACTAATTTGTTACTCATAAATGAGAGGTATAAATAAACTCGGGTTTCTAGTAAAAGTAATATCAATCGGGACAAGTAGTGCAATTTTGACAAAGTCGAGCTTGTTGAGTACGTTCTAAAATTTATGAGAAATGACGAATGACTCCGGCGCATACCTACTCGGAAATTAAAACTGTTCGAGCATTAAAAGGGCGCCCTCGCTGAGTAATTCCGCTTCTCCTTTCTCCTTCTTCTTTGGGACGCTCTTCGCGAGATCGTTGCGTAAACGTAACGGAATGCACACAAGTGTTTTTCAAGTGCTCCAGCATGTTGTCGGTCAGAGAGAGACTAAGCGCTATAAAAATAACTCGAGAGAGCAAGGCTACTTCCTCTCCAGATAATACAAATGAATCTCTTGAACGGACTTTGTTATTCGCACGATAATCGATGATCTCCATTGATACATAAATTCATTTCGTTACTTAAGGAATAATCTTGCTTGCATTTCTTTCGCAATCGTACCTACATTTTGATGAAATCTAATTATTATTTTCTAAATTTCTGTTTATCTTCGCCAAGGTTGTCATCGTAATATTTAGCTTAAATATCGTAAACGATAAACAATGAAACTTTATACAGTTATTTATTTCGTGAGAAACTCAACGGTTCGAGAAGTACGGTATAGGTTCTCGCCTACTATACGGGACGGCGTGAAATATCGGGCCGAGTATCGCATATCGCTCGCCATTCGAAAGATAGTCAATGACGCATCGGCATGTCGAATCCTCATTGAGAATGCGCCTGTGAAAATAAGCGCCCCGATTCGTTCCTGTCGTGGTGAGGCGCTGGGCGGACAGAACCTCTCGTCTTTTTTCACTTCGTCAGATGTTCGCGTGGGTATACACGAACGGTCTATCCGGCCGCTTACGTTAGAGCGAGAAGGTGGAGAGATAGGGCGTAAATTATAATAAAGCCGCACGCAGATCTCGCGGAGCTCTCTCTCTCGAGCGCGTCTCTCCTCGACCTGAACGAGTCGGTCGTTCACGCGCGTCGGTGCCGCGTGTCGGCATTAATGACTTATTGGCATGTTGAATCATCATTAAGAAGCGCGGAGCGTCCAAACGCTCGCGTTGCGATTTCTTTCTTTCAACGGGCTTCAGACTCAGGGTCGCTTTTTTCCTCCGTCCGAAGCAGCATGCCGGTCGCGTCGCGTGCGCGCGGATGCTCGCGCGAACGTCCCTTCGTGACAGAAAGTGCAAGTAATAACACGCGTTGCAGCCGGCTTCGTCATTATTTTCTACCGTTTGATCGGCGCGCGCGTGTACGCCACGCGTGTTCCGGTCACAGCACGGGCGAAAGGTCCGGGTATCGACGTGCAAATGACACGTTAGACGGACGCCAGAATCGCCGTACTTGCGCGTGTATCCGCCCGATCGAAGGCTCCCGCTTAAAGGATATAAATATCGTGTGTCGCAAGAATTTAAATTTATACCGAAGGCGAACACGAAACGCGCCTAATCGCGCGCGATAATTTTCCACGATTTGCGCGTGTTACGCGCGAGAGGCGATTTTTCGTAATGTTGTATTTCCTATCCACACGGTTTAACATATACGATATTTAACGACACGCCGTACGTCGCCTTCGACACCGCAGGAATGCGCACGCTTGCATTCGCCGCTTTCGCGTGGATTCGCGCTATAATGCGTTACGCCTTCGTAAACCTCGCGCGCATTCGAGACGCGTCTCGCGGCGAGATAAACGCTCGTCCGAGATCGCCGTGTAAACATTCTAAATGAAATCGTTGGCATTTTGCAGATTAGCATTTCAATGATCGGAGATGAATAACGGTTTTAATACCCCGCGTCTTTGAGACGAAGCCTTTGAAGTTGTATGTTCAGATGAACTTGTCTTCATAATAATAATCTCAAAAATTTACTCTTGAAATATTAGACAGTATATTTAAAAAACACTTCACATAATAGCATATCTAATTGCAGGGAAAAAAAGCAGTCGACATTATAATGGCTTTCGAAAGATATTTATGAAAATTATGCAAAGATATGCGCAAGGTGTAAAAAGATGTAAAATGATACATTCACGCGAGTGTGTAACGCGGGCGATAATTGCACGAGGTAGGCATTGAAAGACGCTTATCAGTGATTTACGGCACCGTCTCGTCGTTCGATCGCGCGAGGGAGGCCACGAATCTTCCACGAGCGTCTTGCCTCAGACGCGAAACGCCACGTCTGCGAAATCTTGTAAATCCACGAAAGACACGTGTAAATACGAAACGGAGAAAATTACGGTGCTTTCCGAGCGCGCGTGAGAAATGCGGGCGTTTCAACGAGCGCGCGGATGCATAATACATCGAATATCTCGCGCGTATCTATATCTCCGTACAATACCAGCGGCAAGGAGACGTATTTATTGCAGGCTCCATTGAAAAATGCCATGTATATGAGAGCTCATATATAACGCACACACAGCATTATTACATCGGACGGCATTCTTCTATACGAAATCGATTTCGGCAGGAACTGTCTTCATTCTTTTCAGCTTGCTCTCCGCAGGGCGTGCCTACCGCCGCAGCCTCCGACGTTTCTCCAATTTTCTTCGCTCATCGCTTCGTATATTATCCGCGGGGCTTACCGCGGTATATAGTAGCCGCAACAACGGACGCTCGGATAAACATCGTCTCTCTGCTGTTACTACACGCGATGTTCCCGCTCCGACGCCGATTTTCCACCGGCGAGAGCGCGTCTCATCGTTGAGACAAGTTAAACTCGAAAAGGTAGAAATGGGGAAAGTCAGCGACCGCGTATACGGTTTCCCCGGGAAATATCGCGATTTGTTTTCATCTTGTGTTTCAAAATGGTTTTCATGTTTCTCAAAACATGATACGACGGCTCGGACGATCTCTCGGCGCGAGTTTCACGTCGGATATATATATATTACCTGGTAAATTAATAAAAATCTTACGTATTAAACTTATAAAAATTTATAAGAAATTATTTTTTCCAAGTTTGAATCTAGCTGTATGAGATACATCATCTGATGATTGGCAGTTTAATATCCTTTAACTAACACATATGAGAGAGAAAGAGCAAACCGTTGCAATTGTATCGCCGACGTACGTACATATATATCCGCCCGTCCTATTGCCGACCTGATTCCGAAGACAGCAGATAAACGGCAGAACGGGATACCCGTTCGTAAACCCACGCGATTTTCGTGACTCACATCGGGATACGCGAGAGACGCTACGCTTCTCCACGTGTCACTTACAAATGGTTTCACGACGCGGAGCCGCATAATGTACGAAAGACAGCCGGCTAGTTTATC